GTATATATTTATTTTATTTCTTACCAGTTTCTGTTTAATTTCTATTGATTACATTATTTATTTGATTAATTTTGTATGGTTTTAGTTATTTTTCTCATTTTCATTATTTTTTATATCTATTTTTTTCTAAGGTAAGAATAATCTTTAAAAAAGAAAAAGAAATGGAGGTTGAAAGTAATTCAAAAAATTTCAATAAAAATTAAAAAACAAAAATTCATCAAAAATAATCCCAACTTTCATTTTGTTGCCTAAAACGGGCATTTCCGTTATCCCTCCGTTAGAAACTTAACGGCGACCCAAAACTGGCAAATTTCAGTAAAGTTGGGATTATTATGCATCACAGTGAAAGATGGGATTATTTTTGAAAAACCGAGTAAAGTTGGGATTATTTTGGGTAATTTTTCCTAATAATAATAATACTACGTTGGGGTTCTAGTGACACCGGAGTGGTACCGTACTCCGGTGTCACTAGAACCCCACCGATAATACTAATAATAGAGATAGTAAGTATTAACTCTAATTACTCGCCAGAAAACTCATGTCATTATATATATAACTCAAATACTTTAAATTTAAATTTGAGTCGCAAAGTCAACCAAACTTATATGACGCAATTGGGACAACTATGAGTTGGTAACAGGATTACAGGACGGAACATGACAATATTTGTTTTAAATTGTTTTGCGATGGGTTGGGAAAAAATTGTTGTTCCAAAAAAAGAAAAAGAAAAAAAGACGAGTAAATTTAATAATTGGTCCTTTATAACGAGAGATTTTTCATGTCTAGTTCTCTATTATCAAATATTACTCCGTAGTCCTTTTATAAGTGCTTTTCTACAAATAGTTCTTTTTTGGTCTTTAGACATGTTGGCGTTAATTTAAATGCTAAAAGTACAGTTTGATGTCAACCCTATGTCCATCCAGTGACGTATTATGATATTTATTATACGGATAACATAAAAATAATGACTATGATTATGAGCTAGGATTTCGACGAAACACCACATTTGTAGACTATGATGTTAGTAGAAAACGACGGTAGTTTACAAAGGACGTATTATGAACGACCTTTAAAATTGTGTATGACAAGAAAGATCTATTATCATTGCAAAATTATACTTTTACCGATCAAATTAACACCAACATGATACAAGATCAAAAAGGATTATTTGTAGAAAGAGAAATATAAAAGAAGGACAACCGAAGTAATATTTGATAATAGAAAACTAAATAGGAAAACTCCCAAATTATAAACGGCCCGGTTCCGTGGCCACTGGAATCCAGTGGCCACGGAAGCCACTGCCTCCCTACGGACCTCTGTTCATAAAATTGATGATTCCTACCCCCCTAACCCCCCGGTAAACCCCTCCGCCGAGTCCCGACCCAAACTCATCCCCACCCACGTCAATTGCACCTCGTAAGTATAATTGATTTTAAAGTCAAAAGTTTTGACTGTATACTTACGAGGTGCAATTGACGTAGGTGGGGGATGAGTTTGGGTCAGGACTAGGCGGGGGGTTAATCAGAGGGTTAGGAGAGGTAGGAATCATCAATTTTAAGAACGGGGGTACGTAGGAGACGGTGGCTTCCGTGGCCACGGGAAGGAATTATAAAATGCTCTACTTTATATACAGACGAGACCGGGATGTTTTTGAATTCCTGTCTACCCCTTTTTTTCCCAGTGTCATCCTTCCCATATGAAGTACTCATCAGTCCTACTCACCAAATAGCGTAGAAGTTAGGAGCTTGGGGCCATTGGATCTCCAAAATAATAATAATAATAATGGAAAGGATAAGATATAATTCAAGTATTATTATTATAAAAATGCTACTTGCGTCTCTTTTTTATATACTCTCTGCATTTCCTACTGCTTTCTCAGGTTTGTTATTTATCTGTTGTTTTACTCTCTCTTCTTTTTTTAAAGGCTATTTTCTCATTTATTTATGGATGCAGAGGGGATTTCGAGTTCCACGGGGAGGAGCCTCCTTCAGATCCCAAAAGGTAAATTATTTTTCCCAAAGTATACTTTTGATTGTTAAGATTTTTAAAAAACCCTTTGGTTCCCATGACATTGGGAACCAATGTCATGGGATGACCCAGGGGTGTTCCGGTGCCTCGTTCATAAAATTGACGATTCCTTCCCCACTAACAAATTTGACTCCAAAGTCAAAATTAACTTGGGGGTGGAGGGATGTGTTTGGGTCGGGGCGCGGTGGGAGGATTTACCGGAGGGTTTAGGGGGTAGGAACCATCAGTTTTACGAACGGGGCACCAGAGCACCCTCGGGTCATCGTATGACATTGGTTCCCAATGTCATGGGAACCGACCTCTTAAAAAAATTGGTATTTAAAAACATGCTTTATTTAAAGATGATTTTAAACTATTTTAGCAATATGGGGACGGGCGGCATAGGGTGGAGGGCGGATGGCATTGGTTGCCGAGTGGCGGAGGATGGTGAGGTGGGCGGATGGCATTGGTTGCCGACTGGCGGGGTGGGTGTGGCCCGGGGGCAGGAGGGGCAGGAGGGGTATGTTAAAATTTCGGTGGGCCGAGAACAACGGGTAAAGTGTCGGGTAAAATTAACCACTTGCATATTAACTCGGGATCCATTATTCTAACCCAAAAGCTTAAGTTGATAGGTAGGACTTCACCCTTCTTTATATGCTAGTGGTCTTCGTCTTTACTTTCCGATGTGGGAAATCCAACAGGGTAGGGGTTGACGGGGGCGCAGGTGGCAGGGGAGTTGGGGCATGGGGTGGTGGGGAACAAGGTGGGCAAATGGGCGCGAGGACAAGAAGCGAATAAGAATTTTCCTTCAAAAACAAATAGAATATTTTATTCTGGATGAGAATAAGAATTTTCTTTTAAAAATATTTTCCTACCACTCATGTTAGCAAAGAAAATAAATAGAATCAAAGTTTTCCAAAAAAATATTTTTCCCACAACCAAACACACCTTTAATCTCAAACTCCATTACCAAAAAAAAAGGAAATTTGGAGCACACTTTCCCCTACACCTCCTAGTTTTAAAAGTTTTTGTTCAAAACATATGTATGATAATACTCCATGGAATTGCAGAATGCCCTATCAGCTTTGAGTTCAAGAACTACACAATCATCACCAGCCAATGCAGAGGTCCACACTACCCACCAAAGCAATGCTGCGACGCGTTTGTGCGGTTCGCGTGCCCCTTTGCCCCGTACTTGAACAATTTCACCGAGTGCTCGAAATCAATGTTCGACTACCTCAACCTCCGAGCCCAATACCCCACCGGTCTCTTCTCCAGCTTGTGCAAGGGAGACCGAGAAGGCCTCCCTTGCTTTGCATCGGCGCCACCCGTGTCGCGGCCTGATGCGGATTCCCATTCGAGTGGCATCGTTTTGATGAAACGCAAGACGTCTCGATTGGCTATGGTTTCAAAGACTTTGTTTGTATTGGTGTTTGCCATGGTGTTCATCTTGGCTTGAAAACACTCTTAGGTCATCAAGCATGGGAAACCAAAGTATTCCCAACCCAATTCCTCTAGCTCTTGAAGTCACACTCTACCGGGTTTGCTTAAATTGTACTCTTTTGTTCGGGAAAGTTCTTCCAAATGCGTTTTTTAATTCCGAAAAAAAATTAGCATTACTTTTTTTTTACATTTAAAATATCACAATTACTCTTTTTATTTATTACACTTCACCCAACACTCTATCCACTGAAATTAAAGGTAATTTGATAAACGTTAACTCTTTTTTAAAAAAAATCATGAAAATCCACTTTGAAAATATAACATTAAATAATTAAATGTTACTCACTCCAGTTCAAAAGACATTTCTTATTTGAATTTTTTTGGTCAAACAATTTCATACTTTAATTAAAAATTGTGGAAAAAATATACTTAATTATAATATAAATTCAATATAATTGATTTATATTGTGATATAGTTTTGATACATCAAATTTTTATATCATTTATTTATTTATATCAAGTTTAATTTGTGATTAAAGAGTGATACTGTTTGATTAAAAAGGTCAAAACAGGAATTGTCTTTAGAATCAAAGGAAGTAGAAATTTAATATCAAAACAATATTTTAAAAGGAATATAATTTTATTAAATTTATACTATAACTAGATATACATTTTTCATACTTTATGGCCAAAGTATTGTACAGTTTGACCAAAAAATCAAACTATGACAATTTTTTCAAGAGGGGGTGTTTAGGAAGGAAAAAAAACTTCGGCTAACACGTCAATTGATTGTGGTCCAATCATTTAGTCGTGTTACATCCAATTTTCATGAGATAATTGACACTTAATTCCACCCCAAATGGTCAGGATTAGACTTGGCAAAAAATGACCCGATCTGTTTTTGACCCGAGACCCGACCCGAAAATACTGGGTTTTGAACAAAGGTTTTGCTGACCGAACCCGAAGTTGACTGAACCCGAAATGACCCGCTAAAAATGGGTCAAACCCGACCGAACCCGAACCCGACCTGACCGACCCACTAATCTAAGATTTTTTCAGAATCATACATTTTAATATGAAATATAGTGTTATAAAAATAAGATTATGATTATATTTCTTTGCTTACTACTCATTTTTTGTGTATAAATTTATAGCATCATAACAAATTCTAATGATGTCGCATACTTATCTTACATTTTTTCAAAATTTCTACATATTTAATTTTTTTATTCGTAATATTGACACTAAGTCATAAAAATTACTTAAAATTTCAAAAAAATAAATGAAACTCATAACTCGTTGGGTCAACCCGAACCCGATGACACTGGGTCATGAACATGTAGTTATCAACCCGAACCCGAACTTAACCGAACCCGAAGTAACCTGAACCCAAGGTGACCGAACCCGAACCCGACCTGACCGACCGATTTGCCAGGTCTAGTCAGGATTAAAGTGATGATGATCAAATAACACACTGCACACAAAACACAGCATTTTCCTTGATCAACCATATAACAACAAAAAGGTTAAAAGAAGGTTACAAATGAAATAAAATATAGCACACCAGATGCGGATAGCCGTTGATCCAACGAAACTAAGAAGTGGAGATTCGAGCGGGCAAAACCATCACGAGCAAATAGTTTGTTATTGCGATGTTCCCAGCTGAATATCTCCAGCCAATACACACACGCCATACCGTTTATCTTATAGATGATTGCGCAGGCGCCCCAATTATGGTTGGGAGGCATGGGCTGCACTGCAACCACTGCGGCAATGACACTGTTTCCTACTAGTGGTCTAGAACAGCATGCTGAGTGAACTTCAAATCCCTCTAATGGAAGAATTATCACTCACACTGTGGTTTTGGCCCTCTTCATTCCAAGGCTGTTAAAGGGGGACATGGACCCAGACATTTGAGAACCATCATCACGAAGGGTGCCATTGATCATTGCAAGTTCACGCAGCTGCTGCTTTTTATAGAAGTCCTGAGATTCATCCTGTTTTTTTTGTGAAAATATTAAAAATCGGGCAGGGAATTGAGAGAGAGAGGAAAACCAATGTCCTTATACGGGAAATGAATAATTCAGAAGGAAAGGAAAAGAAAAACGTTTCTCTCCTTTTCCTCACCAAAAT